AATGATTTTGTTGATTTGTTTACTTAATATCTGCCTCTCTCACCTAAGTTTTGGGAGAACAGGCACCCCATGTGATTTGGTTCATTCTTACATCCTTATTGTGTGACATGATTGTCATTCAACATATTTTGTTAAGTGCATAAATGAATGGATGGACAAATAATGAATAGAGAACATTTCATTAACATTTTCTTCTGAACTAGGTGAAAAAAAGATAATATTAATTTAAACATTTTTGGAATATTTCTTTAAAAATAGTTAAATGCACTCACACTTTGGGGTGCCTTTGAAAATATAGTAATTATTTTACAGCTCTTTATTTTAAGCAATTAATTTATCTCAATCTCCAGCCTCTTTACTATTTGTGAAAGCATTTGTTTTGAGTGAGTTTTTTATGGCCTGCCCTAGAACATAGGTACTTTGTTCTTTTTTATCATCTCTTTCTACATGTTTTTTTAAAAGTCTTTTTTGTTGTTGTTCTACGAGGTATCTTTAATTTTTCTCTTTCCACCAGAATTAGATGGTTGACCAAGTTTCCAGGAAACATAAGATCAAAAACATTTGGTTTTTAAAATTATTTCTGCACATTCCCTAACTTGTATATTCTTGCAGCTGTGGGCTTCCCACCCCAACCCCAACTTTTTATTATGGAAAATTTCAAGCATAAACAAAAATGTAGAGATAATAGTATAACGACCCCTCATGTATTTATTGGGTGAATGTTTTCAAAATATTTAGTTTTAGAAAACCCCTCTTCACCTGGCTTGATACAATGCCCAGAAAGGCATTTATTGTTAGTCCATGGTTATTTCTACTGTCTTGGAAGGGATGCTTCTAAGGAGAAGAGGGTCTACCTTGGAGCAAAAACAAAGCTGTTAGGTCATCTTCACCTTTATAAGTAAAAGGAAAAAATAAGGTCTTAGAATTGAGCCTGGATTTTAATTCTAGTAGTCTTTTAAGACTTTCAAAATTTAATTTACTCTCTATTTTAGTTCAGATTTATTGTCATTTTTTTATTGTTGTTGCCTTTCTGATTATCTTGTTTTCTCAAGTCTTTAGCAATAAACACTGTGAAATCAAGAGAGTTCAAGAGCATTGAAGAAAGAATGAGCTACTCTTCTTCCACTGCTGCTGGGAAGGAGGACAAACCCCGGTGTAGAGAGGGTGCTGGCAGCCATGGAGAGTAAGGGAAGCAGTGTGAGCCTCTGAGCAGCTGCAGGGAGGGACAGTGGCCTAGAGCAGAGGACTTGGCATGTCCCATTGGAGATGCCCATGTGGGCCCTTGACATGGTGCTGAGGTCGTGACTTCTCTCTCTGCTGTCTCTGCATTTCCTAATGCTCTTTACCCCATCCCGTAGCCCATAACTGTCTAGTTCTCACCCTCGTCTGTAACTCCAACACTGCCATTTCAAGGGCACCCAAGATCTCACCACTAAGTCCAGACTCTTTCCCCTTTATTCTCATCCTATTTTTCATGTCCCAATAAGTAACCTCTCCAGGATTTGACACAGGTGGCTCGATAGGTATGGAAATACTTCCTAGGAGACGCTAACCTCTCATCACTCCCCCATCTCCGAGGCAACCTTTGTGTCTCCCTTCCTTTTCTCTCCACCCTCTTTCTCCTCCTTCCCTCTTCTCTTACTTTTCCTCTCTCTTCCCACATTCTCTTCTCTCCCCTGCTTCTTGCTGCACACCTATGCATGGGGATACACACATGCCACATTGTCTCTCATTTCATATCTTTTCACATGTGTTTCCTCTACTAGGACTCTGTATTGTTTTCCCTTTCTACCACTTATTGCCCTGCATGCCTAGTTTCCTTGTCCGTGTTTACAGGACTCTAAGCTCTTCGAGGGTAGGAACTGTTTTGTTTATCATGTTTCTCCAATGCCTTGTGCATTTCCTGGCACAGAACCAATCCTTAGTAAATATTTTGTATGAATGAATGAGCACAACACAATCTGGGTATCTGTAATCTGTTGTGACCATTGGAGAAAATGAATATATGCCTTGCTCATGGTTGTATCCTCTTTAGAGTTTAGTAATGCCTTGCATAAAATAAATACTTAATACTTATGATTAAATTGAATATGTAGTAAATAAGCTGATACATGATTATTTGTCTGTGTCTGTGTCTAGAATAAAAGTAATGGCTATCCTGAGGATGTGTTTATTTTTCCATGGAGCGTAGAAATTATCTTTTTCTTTGGACACAAATGCATTTTATAATGGTGATAATTTAAATTTTTTAAACTTTATCATGGTAAGAGCACAATATGAGATCAATCTTAACATAAGACTTTTAAGTGTACAATATGGTATTGCTATCTGTTGGAACAATGTCACACAGCAGATCCTTAAAATGTATTCATCTTGCTTCACTGAAACTTTATACCCACCAATTAGCAACTTCTCACCCTACCCACCACACACACCAGCCCCTGGCAACCATCAGTCTAGGCTCTTAGGAGTTTGTTTTAGAGACCTCATATAAATGGAATCATGCAGTATTTGTCTTTCTGCAACTGTCTTATCTTACTTAACATAATGCCCTTACAGCCCATGCATGTTGTATATTTCAGGACTTCCTTTTTATGGCTGAATAATATTCCATTGTATATCTGTACCTCATTTTTTAAATTCCTTCATTTATTGATAGATATTTAGGTTTTCTCTACATCTTGGCTATTGTGAATATTGCTGCAGTGAACATGGGAATGCTAATATCTCTGTGAGATACTGATTTCTATTCTTTTGGATAAATACACAGAAGTGGAATTGCTGGGTTGTATGGCAGTTCTAGTTTTAATTTTTTCAGCAATGTCCATGTTGTTTTCCACACCAGCTATACCGTTTTGCATTTCCATCAGTAGTGCACAAGGGTTCCAGTTTCTCTATATGCTCCCTGATGCTGTTGTATTTTTCAAAAATTTTTAATAATAGCCATCCTTACCGGTGTGAGTTGATACCACATTGTGATTTTGATTAGAATTTTCCTGATTGTTAGTGATGTTGACCATCTTTTCATATGCCCATTGGCCATTTGTATATATTCTTTGGAGAAATGTCTGTTCAACTCCTTAGCCCATTTTAAAAATAATGTTATTTGTTTGTTTGTTTGTTTGTTTTTTGAACCAGGGAGTTGTAAGAGTTCCTCATGTATTTTGGATATTAACCCCTTATCAGATATATGATTTGCAAATATTTTCCCCAATTTGTAGATTACCTTTTCATTCTTTGTTTCCTTTTCTGTGCAAAAAGTCTTTAGTTTGATGTATTCCACTTGCCAATTTTGCTTTCATTTCCTGTGCTTTTGGTGTTATAGTCATAAAATCATGGCCAAAACCAATGTCATGAAGCTTTCCCCTGTGTTTACTTCTAGGAGTTTTATAGTTTCAGGTCTCGGGCTTAAGTCTTTAATCCATTTTGAGTTTATTTTTGTGCTTGGTGTAAGAAAGGATTCAATTTCATTCTTTTGCATGTGGATATCTAGTTTTCTCAACACTCTTTGTTGAAGAGACTATCCTTTCCCTATTGTGTATTCCTGGCACCCTTGTCAAAGATCAGTTGACTATATATGTGTAGATTTATTTCTAGCCTGTGCACTGTTCTTTTGGCTTGTATGTTTGTCTTTATGACAATATCACGTTGTTTTGATTACTCAAAGTTTGTAATGAATTTTGAAATCAGGAAGTTTCATACCTCCAGCTTTGATCTTCTTTCTCAAAATTGTTTTGGCTATCTGGGGTTCTTTGTAATTCCATATGAATTTTTTTATTGGGTTTTGGTTTTTCTTTTACTATTTCTTTTAAGAAATACCACAGGGATTTTGTTAAAGATAACAGTGAGTCTGTAGATCATTTTGGGTAGTAGGGATATTTTGACAATACTAAGTTTTTCATTCTATGAATATTGAACGTCTTTCCATTTGTTTCTTCTTTAATTTCTTTCATTAATGTTTTGTAGGTTTTCAATGTGTAAGTCTTTCTCTCCCTTAGTTAAATTTATTCCTAAGTATTTTATTAAAGTGATGCTATTAAAAATTGGACTGCTTTCCTACTTTCTTTTTCAGATAGTTTGTTGTTAATGTATAAAATTACAGGTGATTTCGGTTTGTTGATTTTGTATCCTGCAACTTCACTGAATTCCTTTTTTAGTTTTAACATTTTCTTTTTATTTGTTGGAGTCCAGGGCATTTGATGCATTTAAGATCATGTCCTCTATAAACAGCAGCAATTTTTCTTTTTCTTATTCAATCTGGATGCCTTTTATTCCCTTTCTTTCCTAATTTCTCTATGTAGGACTTGCAGTACTATGTTGAGTAGAAGAGACAGGAGTGGGCATCATTGCTTTGTTCCTGATTTTGGAGGTAGAGTTTTGAATTTTTCACCATTGAGTATGATGTTAGCTCTGGGCTTTTCATATATAACTTTTTATTATGTTAAGATAATTTCTCTCTATTCTTAGTTTGTTAAAACTATTTTCTATTGTGAAAGGGTGTTGAACTTTATCGAATGTTTATTCTTTTCCATTGAGATGCTCACATGGTTATTTTTATCTTTCATTCCATTATGTGGTATAGCACATTCATTGATTTTTGTGTATTTAATGCATCCCAGAGATATATGTCAGTTGGTGTATAATGATAATATATTTGAGAGAATCCTAAGCATTTTCTTGTCTTGTACATGATAGCTTGTTGTTGAACTTAATTATTTTTATATTGACAAATATCTATAACTCGGAATTTTAATAAATTCATTACAATATACAAAAGAAAAAATGCTTGCTGCATATTTTAGCTATATTCTTAAAGGTCTCTTGCTTTAAAATACCAGGAATCTGTATTTACATATATAAGTAAACTTTTCATTTAGGTCTATGGAAAACAAATTAGAAAACATATTTGTCTCTGTATTAATTTTTCTTCTTCTTTAAATTTTGTGTCCCAAATCTGGATCAGCATCTCACTTTCATCGTTGCTGTTGAAAGAAGAAAAAATGCCTGTGCTATCTCCGGAAATCAAAGTCCAGACTTCCAGTGTCACCAAAAATTCCCTTGAAAATTATTTTCTCTTTGAGAGTAGTTGGAGGAAAGCAGTTTTAGAAACACAGAAGTTGAGAAATGGTAACTTCAATTTTACTTAAGAAAGAAAATACAGAAATAGTGAATTTGAATTTACATGTATATTTTCAAAGCAATAAGAGATATTTATAATTTTGTAACACTTAAGTAAGGATAGTATCTTCAGTTTAAAGAAAAGAAAAATGGAAGCAAATTAAAATTAATTTGCTTAATGTAATTCTATAACTCATAATAGAAATGAATTTTAAAGAACTACTCTCAATATTTTTAAATATGTTTTATTTGATATTAATGCAGTGCTTTTTCTGTTGGATCATACTATTTTTCATGAATAGTGTTTGTTTTTAAATACCTGAAGTTGGTTTTTATATTAAAAAAACCCCTCAAATCTAGGGAAAGGGGATGGAGGGAGGTAAAAGAGGCTAGAGAGAGGATAAATGTTGCTGGAAGGTGATTTGACTTTGGGTGGTGAACACCCCATACAGTATATGGGTAATGTATTATAAAATTGTACCTGTATAATTGTATTAATCAATGTCACCTCAATAAATTCAATTAAAAAGAAAATAAATAAAAGTTTACCCCTGAAAATAAACCCCCCAGAAATCCACAAATCTTTAACAGCACCTTTTGTATTAATAATTCTAACCAGAATTGTCTCCCTTCCTTTCCTTCGAAAGAGTCTTATATCCTATAGTTACTCAATGAAGACTAATTTGAGAACTTTTGACATGTAAATGAGTGTATTTATAGCTTTTCTCCCTAATTTCAAATTATAAAAGTATTTTTTAAATTGATACTGAATTCTGCCATTAGCTTTATTGTTGGAGATATAATTCTTAAAAATAGCAAAATTCAAACTCCTTAAGTATTTCATCACTTCTGGTTTTGAATGTGTTGCTAGAGTTTTTCAACTTCTTCACTAGATTTCCATTAAAGGTACTCAGAAGACACCAGTTTATCTGTCCCCTACCCCCAGATTTAATTGCTGAAAAGAGAATCTGTATATTTTTTTGATCAAGAGAAACTTTTTTTGTTTTTGAAAAAAAAAATCAAAGGTTGCAAAATAGCATTTCGAGTATTAATATCATTCCAGTCCCATTAAATTTTTTTTTTCATTGCTGGGCTAGACTTGCCTAGTAGAGAAATCTTTAAAAACAATTCTCTGTGTTTACCTTAATGATCAACCAAACATTTAATCTCTTAATCTATTTTTTCCCTTTTGTGTCCTTCATTTTGAAAAAATTTTAAAATAATTTGATAATCTCTTTGTCCAATAATATGTGAGGTCAGTGGAAGAAGAAATCTTGGTGCTTCAATATTGTTATTTATAGATTTGGTGTGGAATTTTGTAGAGATATAGTTAAAATCAATGCTTGAAAACAGAATACTTATATCTCATTGCTAGCTCAGATGATCATGTATTTACACATCTTGATTTTTTACTTAAAAACAGGAAGGTGGAAAGATTTAAAGTAGCAGTTAACATAAGACTCTTGAAAGTGCTTTTAAACTCTTTTCAATGTGAATGTATGTAATATTCCAAGAATTCTAGTTATATCAAATCATGAAAGCAGAAAACTGGGAGATTTATGAAACTGTCCTTTTTTCCTTATTTTGTCTTAAACTGTAACTTAATTACTTTCCCTGCAGGAATTCAAGGTATATTATTGGGAGAGATGCTAGGCAAAGTACAGTAGCTTAATTTTCTTTACTTAATGATTGATTTAGTCTATTTTATTATGCATTATAGTATGTAGGAAAAGAAGATAGATACACTTAATCAAGAAATAATGAAGATGGTTATGATACTCCTTTTAATTAGAATACACCAGAGCATTTGGTCTAGAAGAACTCAAAGAACATGTCAAAGAGCCATATTTGCCAGAATTGCAAAGTTGCCGAAAAAGTGTGAGTTCATCTCCACCAGAGCTTCGTAGCAGACGGCTGCGTGCTGATACCCAGTTGCCTCCAGTCAGGTACATTATGTCTGCTTAGATCTCCTGAGTTGAATATGTATTTGTAGTAATACTTCTGCTTGTAGAGGTCTTTCTGGCCAGTGAATCCAATTTTTTCCTGTTTATTAATTTTTTTCACAAAACGTTTAATTTTGTAAATTTAAGTTAATGATTTTTTCAGCTTGACAAGTAGGTGCTTTTCTCAGCTTTTAAGTGACATTGCCAGAAAGGATTTAAGGACTTTCTTTGAAAAAATTTTTATTGCTCTAGTATAGATTGCTCATAGAATATTGGATTTTTTAACAATAAAAATAAATGAACTCTGCAATATTAACAGGTTTCGTTATCCTTAATACAGAACCTTGTGTTTCATTTCTTATTTAAAGTGCTGTAAGGTGAGATTCTGAATGAGATGTCAGTCTAATAAAGAACCTGCATGATAATCAGAAATGAGTTTGTCAGCCAGAATACTAACATTTAAAAATGTTATTATAAATACCTTTCCAACTGTAAATCAGACTGACGTACTGTTAAAAAAAAAAACCTTTCTTCAAAGGCATGTATGTATGTATTGGTAAGGCAGTATTCTGTTTGGTTTCTGCTTTGGTTTATTTATTTATTCATCAAGTATTGAATGGCCAGCCTGAAAAAAAGATGATGTGTTTATAGCAGTCTGATTCGCAGCTTTCTTCAGGGGACGATTTGTATTTTCACGTAATGACCTTTCAAGTCATCCAGTTATATGTAGCACACATGTACCAGAATTTGAGAATCTATTTCTTGAGTTTTCCACTAGCATTATTGTTCTTGTTAATTGCTCTTGAAATAAATCCAGGTGATATAAATAGAAAACTAGAACACACTAAATATGAAAAGTTGTGATTAGTTTTTACCTAAATAAGACCTTGCAGAAGATTTGAGGAAAAGAGAAAATTTACCTATCCTAACATATTCATTTTTATTTTTTAGTATTTTCTTCTATCCTTCTTAATATTCATATATTTTATTTTGGTTGTGATTTTAGTGTACTTACAGTTTTTTATTCTGCCTGTTTCATATACACACATAGTGAGATATATTTATGTCACTACATAATCTTTAGTTACTGTCAAGTAACTGAATAAATAAATATATTATATTTCACTGGACCAACTATAGGTCCATAGTTTCTTTTTCTAATTTATTTGGTTTTTTTTTTTGCATTACCATTTATCTGCCTTATATTCTCTTCCACCTCCACCCCCACAATCACCACACTGTAGTCCATGTCCATGAGTCCTTTTTCTTTTTGGCTCTATCTCTTCATCCCCTAAATCCCCACCAGCTGTCAGCCTGCTCTCTGTTTATGAGTCTGTTTCTATTTTGCTTGTTAGTTCAGTTTGTTACATAGTTTCTTTAAACTGTGTTTAATAACATAGTTTATTTAAAATTTCCTATTGCTGGACTTTTTCACTTTTATAAATAACATCACAATGAACAATAGCACATATAAAGTCTTTTCCATCATTTTAAATATTATCTGAGGACAGATTGCCAAGATCTAAAAATATACAAAGCAAAATTGCTCTTTCTGAAGTGAGATTACAGTGAAATAAGAATCAGAGTTGGTAAGAAAGAGTTGCTAGTAGAGCTGATGGTAAAAGTAAAGGAGACGGATTGGGAAGGTTGTAGAAAGAAGAGGGCCCACTGGAAGCCAAGTATAGAACCTACTCAAGGACCATGTTTCTATCACCAAGACATCTGGATCCGTGATAGCTTGCTCCTGTCATACATCTAGAAGTCATAGCCCTTGGTAGGGAAAGGAGTAAGAATGTGGGCGGTGGCCTGTGGCAATGGACTTGCCTCGGTACAGATCAGTCTTCTCAGCCTTCTTTTAATGTGTATAATCATGTTAAAAGGAACAGGAAGCCCAGAAAACACCCCCGGACTAGTCCACTCTGCCTCTAAATTTTCAGTCTTTATGTTGCTTCCTACTGTTTTCATTCTGTATCAGTTTTTTTTGTTCATTTGCAGTTTGGATGTTTGTAAAATGATTCATCAGCCCTGGCTGGTGTGGCTCAGTGGATTGTGTGCTGGCCTGTGAACTGAAAAGTCACAGGTTCAAATCCCCAGCAGGGCCAGTGACCAGGGTCATGGCCAGGTCCCCATCTGGGGGTGTGTGAGAGGCAACCAATCAACGTGTCTCTCACATATCAGTGTTTATCTCCCTCTCTTTCTTCCTCCCTGCCCCTCTCTCTAAAAATAAATAAAGTCTTTAAAATGATTTACCAACATTTCACATTGACTTGAGTGTGAATTTACTTCAGGATAATTTGAATATATTGGGTTGACAAAAGAGTTTAGTTTTTTCCATAAAATAAAAGACATATTTTTCATTTACACCAATAACTCTATTGATTTGGATATTTTGAGTATGTTGGCTGTCTCCTGCATGGTAGAATGTTGATTGTTCTCAATTAATGTCTTGATTTGTCTGTATCAATTTCAACTGGTCTACCCAACCATGGAGCATCATCCAGCAAGAAATCTCCAGCATGAAACCCCACAAACTACTTCTGACATGTTCAGTCAGTCACAGCACCTTCATCATACACTGCACAAATCTTTTTTTTGCATTTCAGTTACATTTTTACCTTTTTTGATAAAATAAAGGATGATACACCAAAATTGTTGCTTATTTTCTTCTATCCTCACTATTAAAATGGCTACACAAAAATTTCACCAATTTTGATGTTTAAATTTTTTTATTACATTTTATTGATTATGCTATTATAGTTGTCCTGATTTTTTTCTTTTTGCTCCCCTCCACCCAGTGCTCCCTACTACCAGAGGCAAACCCCACGCCATTGTTCAGGTCCATGGGTCATGCATATAATTTCTTTGACTACTTCTTTTCCTATACTTCACTTTATATCCCCATGGCTATTCTGTAACTACTTATTTGTACTTCTTAATCCCCTCACCTCTTCACCCATTCCTCCATATAGCCTCTCCCATCTGGCAGCCATCAAAATGCACTCCATATCCATGATTCTGTCTCTGTTCTTGTTTGCTTAGTTCTTTTAGATTGAATTGTTGATAGATTTGTATTTTTTGCCATCTTAATGCCCATAGTTTTGATTTTCTTTTTCTTAAATAAGTCCCTTTGATATTTCTTATAATAAAGTTTTGGTGATGATGAACTCCTTTAGTTTTTTCTTGTCTGGGAAGCTCTTTATCTGCCCTTTGATTCTAAATTATAGCTTTGCTGAGTAGAGCAATCTTAGCTGTAGGTCCCTGCTTTTCATTACTTTGAATATTTCTTGCCAATCCATTCTAGCCTGCAAAGTATCTTTTGAGAAATTAGCTGACAGTCATATGGGTGCTCCTTTGTAGGTAACTAACTTATTTTCTCTTGCTGCTTTTAAGATTCTCTCTTTACCTTTAATTGCTGATACTTTAATTATGTTGTGTCTTGGAGTGGTCCCCTTTACATCCATCTTGTTTGGGAGACTCTGTGCTTCTTGGACTTGCCTTTCTATTTCCTTCACCAAATTAGGGAAGTTTTCTTCCATGATATTTTTCAAATAGATTTCAAATTTCTTGCTTTTTCTCTTTTCCTTCTGGCACCCTTATGAGGTGAATATTGGTCCACTTGAAGAAGTTGTTGCAGAGACTGCTTGTATTATCCTCATTTATAAAAAATTCGTATTCTTCTTGTTGTCTGATGATTGGTTGTTTTTTACTTCCTTATGTTCCAAATCATCGATTTGATCCTTGGCTTCATCCACTCTACTGTTGTTTCTTCGTAAATTGTTCTTTATTTCAATTAGTGTATTCTTTGTTTCTGGCTGGATCTTTTTTATGCTGCTGAGATTCTCACTAAGTTACTTGAATATCCCTATAACCAGTGTTTGAACTCTGCATTTAATAGATTGCTTATCTCCGTTTCGTTTAGCTCTTTTTTTTGGAGTTTTGATCTGTTCCTTCATTTAGGCCACATTTTTTTGCCTCCTTGTTTTCACAGCCTCATTGTGTTTGTTTCTATATATTAGGTAGAGGCACAGCCTCCGCTATTAACCAAGCTGGGTACCTGAAGTGTGCTAATACACCCTCCTTTTGTTGATGAGCCTTGGTTGCTGTTGGCAGGTCAAAGAAAGGAATTTACTTAGGCCAGTCAGCTGCAAGGATTGGCTGTGACCACTTACCACTAACCTCTGCCCTTCATGGAGGATCGTCTATGCAGGGACAGGTTGGTGGTGCTTCTACATGATCTGTAGCTATCCACTGGGGGCACTGGCCCTGGGGCTTCTGGGGTGGTGCAGGCCAATGTCATCCCCAACCTGTGTTTTGCCTAGGGCCACCCTGCCTGAGCTATAAAGCAATCTGAGATGGCTATTATTTGTGCTGGGCTTGGAGATTCCCAGTCAAAGTCAAGCTGTGAATCTAGGCTGGCTTCTTCTAGTGCTGGTCCTGGGGCTCACTGAGGCCAGCTGTTGCTTATTTAAGAGGATTTAGGAAGTTGTGCAGCATGAGCCAAGACTAGTTATTCATATGGAAAAGCATCTTGGGTGGGCCTGTGAGTCGGGTGCCATGAAATCCCGGGGGATCTCCTATCGGGTCAAATAGTGTTAGCCAGGTTGAGGGAATCTCAGATATGGCACCAGTTTACTGGGTCTGTGGCTGTATGGGGGAGGTTTAGAAAAGGGACAATGGCATCTGCTCACCTTGATGCTAGAAACTTCAGTTTCTCCCAGTGTGCCAGTAGTGCCTTTCAAGCTGCTACCCCGGTGCTGGAGCTCAGAGGGAGTGAGTGTGAGTAGGTGAGTCCATGTGTGGGTGCTTTAAGAGAAACTGCTTGGGGATCCAGAAGTTTCTTCCACCAACTTAATCCCCACTGTTTTTTCCAGCCGGAAGTTGTAGGGATTTATCTTCCTGGCACTGGAACCCTGAGCTGAGGGGCCTGGTATGGGGCTGGGACTCCTGACTCCCATTATATTGCTCCCAAATTTTTATCCACCACATGTGGGTTTGGGATCAGCCCATTCTGCATCTGAGCCCCTCCTACCAGTCTGGATGGATGTGGTTTCTTTAATTCCATAGTTGTCAGACTTCCATTCAGCTCAATTTCTGATGGTTTTGAGTGATGGTTGTTCTATATTTTAGTTGCAATTTTGATGTGGTTGTGCGAAGAGGTGAGCCATATCTGTCTATGCTGCCATCTTGACCTGATCAGCTTTTTTTCTTTTTTATTTAAGTATTTTTATTGATTATGCTATTAGAGTTTTCCAATTTTTTTCTCCCTTAATCTCCCCTCCACCTTGCCTCTGCAACCCTCCAGCATTCCCCCCTCTTAGTTCATGTCCATGGGTTGTACATATGTTCTTTGAGTCCTCTGTTTCCTATACCATTTTTTATTTCTCTCCATTATTTTATGCTACTAATTATGCTTCTTCCTCCCTGTACATTTCCCCCCCTATTCCTCACTCCCCACTCCCCACTGAAATCCCTCCATGTGATGTCCATTTCTCTGATTCTGTTCCTGTTCTAGTTGTTTGCTTAGTTTTTGTTTTAGTTTTCTTTTCTTTTACGTTCATTTGTTGATAGTTATGACTTTGTTGTCATTTTACTCTTCATAGTTTAGATCTTCTTTTTCTTAGGTAAGTTCCTTTGATATTTCATACAGTAATGGCTTGGTGATGATGAACTCCTTTAACTTGATCTTATCTGGGAAGCACTTTATCTGCCCTTCCTTTCCAAATGAAAGCTTTGCTGGATAGATTAATGTTGGATGTAGGTCCTTGCCTTTCATGACTTGGAATACTTCTTTCCAGCCCCTTGCCTGCAAGGTTTCTTTTGAGAAATCAGCTGATAGCCTTATGAACACTCCTTTGTAGGTAACGCTCTCCCTTCCTCTTGCTTCTTTTTGGATTTTATTTTTATTTTTAATCTTGGGCAACTTAATGATGATGTGCCTTGGTGTGTTCCTCTTTGGGTCCAACTTCTCTGGGACTCTCTGGGCTTCCTGGACTTTCTGGAAGTCTATTTCTTTCTCCAGATTGGGGAAGTTTTCCCTCATAATTTGTTCAAATAAATTTTCAATTTCTTGAAGTTGTTCTTCTCCTTCTGGAACCTCTATAATTCAGATATTGGAACATTTCAGGCTGTCCCAGAGGTTTGTAAGACTCTTTGCTTTTTTGAATTCTTATTTCTTCAATCTGTTCCTATTGGATGTTTATTTTTTCTTTTGTCCCAAATCATTGCTTTGAGTCCTGGTTTCCTTCCTGTCACTGTTGGTTTCCTGAATGTTTTGCTTTATTTCATTTTGGGTGTCTTTCATTTGTTTTCTCATTTTTCAACCAAGCTCAATCAAATCTGTGAACATTTTGAATACCAGGGCTGTAAATTCTCCATCAGATAGGTTGGCTATGTCCTCATTATTTAGTGCTCTTTCTGAGGTTATGCTCTGTTCTTTCATTTGGGCCATATTTCTTTGTCTTGGTGCACCTGACAGTTATAAGGGGGTGAGGACTTAGGTATTCACCAGGGCAGGGCGACCCTCCTTGCTGCACTGTGGCACTTCCTCTGGGGGAGGGGCCAGAGAGGGAACAATGCAGCTCGACTGCTTGTCCCTAGAGCACTTTCCAGTGGATTCTTGTGTGAAACTGGGAGTTTCTCCCACTGTAGCAACCAGTGTATCAACTCTGAGTCTCAGTTTCCCCTTAAGTCAGCCCTACAAGTTCTCCCAACTTGCCATGGTTTTTCTCTACCCACGGCCTGCATGGTTTGCCACCTTACTGGTCTGGTTATTCTGATTGATTTTTTCTTTAATTCCTAGGTTGCTGGAGTTCCGTGCAGTTTGATTTTCTGGTGCTTTTGGTTGTTTATTAATTTTATTTTAATTTTTTAAAATATATTTTATTGATTATGATATTACAATTGTCCCATTTTCCTCCCTTCACTCCCCTTCTTCCTGCTCATCCCCTCCCACCCACATTCCCCTGCTCTATTTCATGTCCATGGGTCGTACATATACTACATTTCTTATACTATTTTTATCTTCCCCTGTCTATTTTCTACCTACCATCTATGCTACTTATTCTCTGTACCTTTTCCCCCTCATTCCCCCTCCCACTCCCCTGTTGATAACCCTCCATGTGATCTCCATTTCTGTGGTTCTGTTCCTGTTCTAGTCATTTGCTTAGTTTGCTTTTGTTTTAGGTGTGGTTGTTGATAATTGTGAGTTTGCTGTCATTTTATTGGTTATATTTTTTATCTTCTTTTTCTTAGATAACCGCTTTAGCATTTCATATAATAAGGGTTTGTTGATGGTGAACTCCTTTCACTTGACCTTATCTGAGAAGCGCTTTATCTGCCCTTCCATTCTAAATGAAAGCTTTGCTGGATAGAGCAATCTTGAATGTAGGTCCTTGCATTTCATGACTTGGAATACCTCTTTCCATCCCCTTCTTGCCTGTAAGTTCTCTTTTGAGAAATCTGCTGACAGTCTGATGGGAACTCCTTTGTAGGTGACTGTCCCCTTATCTCTGGCTGCTTCTAGAATTCTCTCCTTCATTTTAATCTTGGCTAATGTAATGCTGATGTGCCTTGGTGTGTTCCTTCTTGGGTCCAACTTCTTTGGGACTCTCTGAGCTTCCTGGACTTCCTGGAAGTCTATTTCCTTTGCCAGATTGGGGAAGTTCTCCTTTATTATTTGTTGAAATAAGTTTTACATTTGTTGCTCTTCCTCTTCTCCTTATGGCAGGTACCCCTATAAATCTGATGTTGGAACATTTAAAGATGTCCTGGAGTTTCCAAAGCCTCTCCTCATTTTTTTGAATTCTTGTTTTTTCATTATTTTCTGGTTGGATGTTTCTTTCTTCCTTCTGGTCCACTCCATTGATTTGAGTCCCAGTTTCCTTTATTTCACTTAGCATAGCCTTCATTTTTTCATCTAATTTGCAACCGAACTCAACCAGTTCTGTGAGCATCCTGATTACCAGTGTTTTGAACTGTGCATCTGATAGGTTGGCTATCTCTTCATTTAGTTGTATTTTTTTCTGGGTCTTTGATCTGTTCTTTCATTTGGGCCATTTTTTTTGTCTTGATACACCTGTTATGTAGTAAGGGATGGGTCCTTAGATATTCACCCTGAGGGAGGGGTAACCCATGTTGCTGTGCTGTGATGCTGTATGTGGGGAGGGGATCTGAGAGGGAACAATGGCACTTGGCTCTGCTCTCCCTGGCTTTCAGTAACTTCCTCCACTTTCCACGCAAATTGGGCCCTTCTGGTGCTGATTCCTGGGTGGGTTGGCTTGTGTATGTCCCAGGACCCTGTGGGTCTCTCCAAAGTACTCTCCTGTGAGGCTCGGAGTTTCTCACTGCTGCCTCAACCCTCAGAGGTGTTTTCAATTAGTGGTTTGAGGCTTTATTTCCTTGCACTAAAGTTCTGGGTTTTTCAGTCAGTCTTACTCCCCAGTTGTTCCTCCTGGTTTATCTGTGTGTGAGTGTGGGACTGCCTGCTTCACCAGCTGCTGCCGAAGCCTTGCCAGCCAACTGCAGCCTTGCACATCCTGCTTCACAATCTGGCACTGGGCCGACCAGCTGCCACCTTGCCTGCCCCGGTCCTCCTGCCACTGCATTGCCATGAGTCCTCTTCATGCGTCTGTCTTTGCCCATCCTACTGGTCTGGATGAGTGTGTCTTGTTTAACTCCTTGGTTGTTTGACTTCCATACAGTTTGATTTTGTCAGTCTGTTGTGTTTTTTTAAAATTGTTATTGTCTTTCTTTTGGTTGTGCAAGGAGGTACAGTGTGTCTACCTATGCCTCCATCTTGGCCTTAAGTATCCTTATTGATTTTAGATTGGTTGTTATTCTCCTTTTGGTTGTGCAAGGAAGCAAAGGGTTTCTACCTATGCTTCCATCTTGGCCAGAACCTTGATAAGCTTTTTTTTACATATGTGCTGATATGACAGCTGTCACAATGCAATCTAACAAAATTGTTTAGAATGAAGTTAAAGACAACTAAGTGCTACTAGAGTCATCTTATAGAAATAAGCAAATGAACTTTTTGGCCAACCCAATATTATAATTATGTTTTGACAAGTGTTCTTCATATACAAAGTAGAAGAGTGGGGTTAAGTGCCATGTGTTAATGAATGTGTGGCAAGCATAAATGTTATTTATCTTGCCTGTCTTTGACACAAATGTCTCTATTTTAGCCATTCTGATGAGAACATGATGAGTTGCCTGCAAGTATTTTATCCTCCTCTGCATATTGCCCCACACTCTGTGAAAGAACGGTGTTGGCAAACCAGGGAAGTGCTAATTTTTGTTTCTTTTATTTACAACCCTTACCCTCCCCCCACATATGTAAATATTTGATTTTAAAATGCTGATAAAAGTCTAATGGTTCTTGAAAATTTGTTTAATGATAATCAAAAATTTTCAGTGAATCTCAAGATACTCTCTGGTAATATTACCAATAATAGTAATTTTAGAGATGAATAGTATTTGGACTGACTTCTGAAGTTTAATGTAGTTACAAGAAATTTTAAATTCTTATGGACCATCTCACCAACAGGAGATTCGATCATATGTTTCCTCTAATAACCTATGTATTATCTAGGTTTATTCCAGAAGGAACAAAAGCTAATAAAGTCAAAATTCAGACATCGGTGATGAATAGGTGAAAGTGCACAAATAAGTGAGTTGGTTAGCTGGCATATCCAGATACCCTATTAATCTAATCTTGATGCTCTTCCTTTTAGCATTCCCTCAATCATGATTAGTGAGAGTTAGGATAAAGACAAACTGAGATAAAGATGGGAAAAGTTTGACATAATACTCACCCACTGGAAAAATTTATTAGTAAACACTGAGGTATTAAGTTGGTTTGTATATGCTTCTGATTAGATTAGTTATGATGGAAGGAGTTTTGTTTCTTTAATGTTTATTTAATTTCCACATGATGTCCCTCAACAAGTAAGTTTCACTGAAAGCATGCTTCTTGACTCCTAATGCATTTTGAAAATTAATGTGCCCTGGATTTATAGAGAAGTGATTTTACAAAAATGTGCAATTTCAGGATAAAGAAGACTAAGGAGATCTGCACTGCTGTACCACTTCAAGAGAGTGAGAAAGGTAAAGTGGGCTCATGTTTTTCTCCCACCACATTCTCATGCTGAATATTAACCTTTTTAAAAAACTTCCTTTCTCTCTACTGATTTGTCTTTGTTTTGTTAATACTTCTTTGAAGAAGCTTTATTTTATAAATTTAGTGGATATCATGTTATATATATATATATTTTATTATCTCAGGACCCTGGGGTAGGCTCTACTCATCTCCATGTGGGCCATTGCAGTAGCTTGCAAACTAGTCTGGCTTGGGATTTATGACCTTTGAAATCATTCAACATTGCAGCAAAAGCCTAACATTTTGCCCTCTAATCACATTACTTCCTTCTTCAAACACAATGCCTCCTCATTTCCCACAGACCAAAGTATGAGCTTCTTAGCTTGGCATTGAACCCTTTACTATCTTCACCTACTTGCCTTTCTGGTCTTATTTTCTAATTAATTTTTCCTGAATTCTGTGTATCTATAATATCCAACTTTAGAAACTAATCTATATATCAACAGTATGTGTTTAAAAAAACTGCTATTAAAATTGATTTATTTTAAGGCCTTGGTGACTAAGATGGTTTATAACACCAAAGTGTATTTTCATCTATTTGGAGTATGAGTTTGCTCTTTGAAGCTTTAAATTCAAGCATTCTCACTTCTATATTTCTGATATGTTTGGTCAGAATTTTGTTTTTCAAAAACACACTGAAAAAATCTGTTGAGCCAGGTAATTATGCTTTGAGTGATATCTAGAATATGATGGAGAATTTTCTGGCAGCTCTGACATCTAGACTTACTATTTCATCCCTAACTTTCATGTGTTAGAGATCACTGGGGGCTTTATACCAAGCAAACAATGTGGCATGCAACATATGTATTTGTCTAGCATTTAAGTTCTTCAACAAATTCTTACTCATTTCCTGAAGTAATTTTATCCAAAGTTAATGGTAAAGATACTTGACTCTCGAAGTCTAAAGTTTTATACTTTCTTGTCTTTGTTGATTATTATATAAGCCAGGGGTTTTTCAACAATTACAGCACTTTGTACCAGATAATTCCTTGTTGTGGGGTCTGTTCTGTGCATTGAAGGATGTTTAGCAGCATCCCTGGCCATTATTCACTAGATGCCACTAATAGCCCCCAAGCGTGGTCATTAAAAAGATCTCCAGACGTTGCCAAAGTTCCTTAAGAGTGGCAAAATAACTCCCAGTTGAGAACCACAGGATTAAGTATAACATCTTTAGCATTGTATGTTATTCTACTATTTCTCCTTCATACTGTCAACTATTTCCTCTCTTACCTATGTGTAACAATTATTTTGTTACTAGTTTAAAAAATTTTAAACCTCACTTATTTGTATGATATTCAGAGTTATCTTCATCACCTCCATGATTTTCTACTTATGGATGAATGGAGGTCAGAGCACCTCCAAAGAAACCCAACCACTGAAATCATTGAGGAAGACTTTTGTGACATTATTAGCAGCAGTCAGAATTGACTTGTGAGGAGCTTTGCAAGTTCATTCTCTGGATATTCATCGGGTTCAATGTTCATGAACTTCTTTTTGGATATGACCTTTCTCTGAATTTTTATATATTATAAACAACTTCTGTGATCAACAGGCAGCATAAAATAAAAAATATAAATGTTAATCTAAGCAGAAGGCATTCAATTGCATCTTGGCCCAGATGAACATCAGCCTGCCTGTTTTCCAATAGGCCAAATTTATGGCTCTTAGGATTGGGTGGTATGTCTTACTTACCTTTACACCTTGCAGTGCCTACACCAGTTTCTGTAACATGTTGAGTGCTCAGCAAATACTTGTTGATTTTCCTTCAGTCATGCAAGTGGGCAGTTCATTCACTCATTTACCAAATGCGAATTGAATATATACTCTATGCCAGGCATTGTTCTAGGTGTTTGGCTTTAGGCTATATCCCACAACAAAATGAGGGTCCCTGCCCTTGTGGAGCTTACATTCTAGTGAGAGAAGATAGCCAACCAACATTAACCATAATAAAGAAGACCATTCCCCACTATGTCAGAAGGGGAAAACGTAATAGAAATAACAAAATAGAACAGGAGAAAGGAGATCAGGAGATCTGAGGTCAGGACAGGTTTAATGGGGAGGGCATTATTTGAGCCAAAACTTGAAAGAGGTGAGGGAGTTAAACTCCTAGGAAACAGTTATTCTCCTGGAGCAAAGATCCCAAGCCAGGATGATATCTGACCTGTTGGAAGAAATCAGGAGTCGAGTGTCCAGGTAAGAGGGGTGATATTCGACCGTGTAGGGCCTTGGAAGGGACATTGTATCTAACTCTGATTGACAGGAGGAGCCCTTGAATCATTTCAACAAAAAAATGATTTTAATGTGAGCTGATTTAAGTTTTTTTAAAAGATTTTATTTATTTATCTTTAGAGGGGAAGGGAAGGGAAAAGGGAGAGAAATATCAATTTATGGTTGCCTCTCATGTGTCTCCTGTTGGGAACTGGCCTGCAACCCAAGTATGTGCTCTTACTGGGAATTGAACCACATTTGTTTGGTTCGCAGGCCCGCACTTGATTTAAGTTTTTAAAGGATCATTAGGTAACTGTCATCTCTTTTAGTAGTTAGACCTTTTTAAAAAATGGCCCATTGACCTTCCACCTCTATCTGTGATGAAATAGCTTTATCAGACTATTTTACCACTGAGAATTAGCATGAGAGCTAATTATTAAAGAATATAAAAATATATTTTATAAGAAATAATGTAAAAGTAATATATACCTGTTATTCGTATAAAATAATAAAAACATTAAAAAACAACTGCTTTAAGGTATCAAGAGCTATCATTTCCAATAGGACTTGAGAGGCTGAGATAACCACAGAGAAGTGAACCTTAAATTCTGTGCACAGTTTCCCTCCAGATGCCTATTCCAGAGTGGCATGTCTGCTGGCTAAAACAGCTTTTTGGAGACAAAAGAACTTAGCAGAGGTTTCAGGATGTAGCATTTACTGGGGGGACAGCAGGGGAGTTTAAAGACTACCCAGGAAGCCCTTAGTAAACACCTAGGCTCTTGGTTAAAACTCCTGAAGGGCCACACACTGTAAAGGCATCCCGGGTAGAGTCTAGCTTTAAAACAGACTACAACCCAGACTTAACTGGATTAGAGGGACTGCCTGGCCTGCCAGGAGAAAATGTAATCTCTGGAAAACTGAAGGTGAACCTGAGCCTTACAGGCACACCGTTTTGGTCATTTGTTTTCTTTGGAGGAGTCTTTTGATATTGATTCAGTCATTTTAATTTTAGGACTTTTAAGGTATTCTAATTCTTCAATCAATATTGCTGTTATATTTTCAAGAATTTTTTGCGTTTTGTCTGTTTTCAATTGTATTGGCCTAAAATTTAGTCTTTGCTCTATCTGTACTTCTATTCCTCTTCTAATATTATTTGTTCATTCTGCCTTGTTTTCTTGATTAATATCACCACTTTTCATTTTTATTAGTCTTCTCAGTGAAGAACTCTTTTAAAAAATCTTACTGTAAGTTTGTTTCCTACATCATTGATTTCTACTCTTTTTTTATTTTTTATTTAATCTTTATTGTATTTTTTTTTTACTATCATGTAGTCCCCTTATACTCCCTACCCCTGGAAATCACCACATTCTCCTCTTTTTTATATTATCTTTTTTTCTCCCATGTTCTTTGAGTTTATCCTTTTCCTAATGTGTACCTTATACCTAGGTTATTAACTTTCAGCTGTCTTTTCTAACACAGCATTTTAGAATTTTATAACCATAGAGAGGTTTGTACCCTAAAATTTCTCTTTTGCTTCACCACACCAGTTTTATAATATTTTCTTTATCATCCAGTTAAATGTTTATTATGATTTCTTTTTTTGATTGATGAATAATAAAAATGTCTATAAATATCTAAATATTTCAGAATTTTTAGTTTGTCTTATCGGTAACAACTTCAACTAAATTTTATTGGTCTGTATGATAACAATTCTTTGAAGTTTTTTGAATATTGCTTAATATCTAGAATCTAGTTCATTTGTAGCTAGAGGATCTTTCTAAGATCAAGTCCATTGCAGTGCTATAAACAGGAAGGCTGATCATATTCTTGCCCTCTACTCTCTCTCTCTGAACTTCCCACTCATGTTACACACTCAAATAAAAACAAACAAATATACAACCCCCAAGTACCTTGGAGATTTTTTTAAATTATATTTTATTGATTACACTATTATAGTTGTTCTAATTTTTCCCCCTTTGTGCCCTTCCCCCCAGTAACCCCAATTCCCTCCAACAATCTACCCCTTAGTTCATGTCCATGTGTCATGAATATAAGTTCTTTGGCTACTACTTTTCTCAAACTGTCCCTAACATCCCCCTGTCTATTTTGTACATACAAATTTGTACTTCTTAATCCCTGTACCTTTTACCCTATTCTTCCCCTTCTCTTCCCAACTGATATCCATCCAAATGATCTCCATATCTATGATTCTGTTTCTGTTCTACTTATTTGCTGTTTGTTTTTTAGATTCAGTTGTTGATATTTGTGAATTTATTGCCATTTTAATGTTCATAGTTTTGATCTTCTTCTTTTGGTTAAATAAATCCCTTTAACATTTCATATAATAAGGCCTTGGCAATGATGAACTCCTTTAGTTTTACCATGTCTGGGAAGCTCTTTATCTACCCTTCCATTCTAAATGATAGCTTTGCTTGACAGAGTAATCCTGGATGTAGGTCCTTTTTTCATCAATTTGAATACTTCTTGCCAGTCCTTTATTGCCTGAAAAGTTTCTTTAGATAAATCAGCTGACAGTCTCCTGGGAACTCCTTTGTATGTAACTATCTGATTTTCTTTTGCTGCTTTTGAGATTCTCTCTTCATCTTTAACCTTTGGCATTTTTATTATGATGTGTCTTGGTGTGGTTGGTCCTCTTTGGGTCCAACTTGTTTGGGACTCTGTGCTTTCTAAAATTGTAAATCTATTTCCTTCATCAAACTAGGGAAGTTTTCATTCACTATTTTTCAAATAAGTTTTCAATTTGTTACTCTCTTTTCCTTCAGCACCCTTATGATTGGCATGTTGGTATATTTGAAGATATCCCAGAGGCTCCTTAGCCTATTGTGGTTTTTTGGATTCTTTTTTCTTCTTGCTGTTCTGTTTTTTTTATTCTTTATGTTCCAAATCATTGATTTGATTCTCAGCTTCATTCACTCCCTGTAAATTTTTGTTTATTTCACTTAGTGTAACCTTCATTTTGCATGGGTTTTCTTTATGTTGTTCAAATACCCAATGAGTTCCTTAAGCATCCTAATAACCAGTGTTTTGAACTCTGCATCTGATAGATTGCTTATCTCTGTTTCATCTAGTTCTTTGTCTGGAGTTTTCTTCTGGTCTTTTATTTGAGCCATATTTCTTTGTCTTCTCATTTTGCCAGCCTCCCTGTGTTTGTTTCTGTGTGTTAGGTAGAGCTGCTTTGACTCCCTGTCTCAGTAGCATGGCCTATTGTAGACAAGTGCACTGGTAAGTTGTATGGGGCAGAGCATTAGGTAATTGCCAGGGCAGGGCAACCTGTGTCACTGCTCTTTGGCTCTGTATGGGGGAGGACTAAGAGAGAGGACAATTTGGCTGCCTAGCCCGTGAAGTTTTGTCCAGGAGGAAGCTGTTTCCTGGTACTTACCCTGTTTCCAGTCACTTCACTTTCTCCCCATATGCTATTGGTGCCGTTCTAGCTGTCGCCCTGGTGCTGAAGCCCAGAGGCAGTGAGTCTGCATAAGTTCTAAGTCTATTGTAGGCCCTTTAAGAGGCTCCTTAAAGGACTCTGAGAATCCTGAGAATCCTGTAGTTTCTTCTGCCACTCCAACCCGCACTGGTTTTTACAGCCAGAGGTTATTGGGATTTACCTTCCTGGTACTAGACCCCTAGGCTGCGAGGTCTGGTGCAGGGCTGGGGATTCCTTACTCCTGAGGTATCCCTTCCAATTTTTATCCATCACACATGAATGTGGGACCACCCATTCTATGTTTCCATACCTCCTACCCATCTGGATGAATGTGGTTAATTCCTTGGTTATGGGACTTCCATTTGGCTCAATTTTCTGATGATTCTGGGTGATATTTGTTTTGTAGTCCTTGCAGTTTCTGCTGTGGTTGTGTGAGGAGGCAGACTGTGTTTATCTATGCTCCATCTGACTTAATCTTTAATAATTATTTATAGAGAATGAATTCCATAGTCATACCATGTTTTTGAAGCATGTTATAGGCACAGATTTAGTTTTATATAATTAAATGTAAACATTGCAGGTTTTTTAGTTAAATATTTTTTGAGATGGCTTATTACAGTCATTAAAAAGTAATTAGTGAAATTTCTGTTTCAAAACACTCATAGTATTTGATGGTCAGTTGAGGAATAGACATTTTGCTTGCACTATATTTTAGAGAATGCATTGTGATTATTTGCATTTTAGTAGCTGATTTTTTTCCCTCACAGGTTTTAGCTTCAGTGATCCTCTCGTTGGAGCACCATCTCAGTACTTACAGAGACTTTCCAAAATGGCCCTATTAGAATATGATACCATTGGTCATGAAACAACCAGAAAGTCAAAAAAGGGTAGGAAACGAGAGCTGCGAGACTGCTGGTAACTCATGCTGTGTGGTTCTTTCTTCACTGGCTTTTAAGGCTTATACTTTCTTCCTTTCTTTTTCTTTCTTTTGGCACATGATATGATATGGAATGTTACATGTAACAGTGGAAATGTAAATAGGAAATAAATATGTTATGTTACATAAAGAATAACTTGTTTTGTTAGCATTACAAAGAAGCATTTATCATTTATGCAGACATAAGCATAAGAAAATTATATTTCATGAATTTTATGCACATTAATTATATTTTTTGACTCAACTTGAAAAATGTTTTTTGAGTGCCTGCTTGTACAATGACCTTCGCTGGAAGACACAGAAGATTTTTTTTTAAAAAGTGACCTCTTCTAGTTGGAGATAAAAGTGGCCAACTGAAACCCCTCCTCTTCCCTGCTTGAGTTTGCAACTGTTGTGACGTAAGTATTCAAACAAATGAAGATGAAAATATTAGTTTTGCTTTCTGATAGAACCTGGAATGGAAACCCTGGCTTAGATGTGTGTCCACCTCCCGACAGTGAACTTCAGAACTGGCTCAGTGCACAAACGCAGGCAGTGCTGACAAGCTCAGGCTCACCTGCTGAGTCAGGGCCTCCATGGCCAAGCAGACAAGGTTTTCCACTGTGTAGACAGACAGGTTCCTGAGGAGTAAGGGGATGGGGATACACTTGCTCCTTCTCTGTGAGGAGGAGGAAGGTCAAGCTCAGGAGTACTGTGCTTCTCTATAAAGCCTGAGGGGTGAGGGAGGAGTGTGTGTCATTGCACCTATCTGAGAAACCAGGAGAAATCCAGGCCTCCTGAGGCTGTGCTCCAGGGAGAGTGGGATCCAGGAGAGGCACAGAGTGTCACAGATGTTCAAGAACAGGGAAGTAGCATCCAGTGGGAAAGCTTCATGGAAGATACAGTGTTTGAAATGGAACTTAAAGGCAGGAAAGATGGTGGGAGAGGGCATTTCTCGAAGGATGGAATAACATAGCTGAGGTACCCTGTGCATTTGGGAGTGACTGACATGGTCGAAACACTGGGTAGTAGAGGGTGAGTGGCAGAAGTCACATGCCTACAGGCACCAAGCCAAGGACCACATTACTGATTCAGTGAGATGAAGGCTGCCAGACCTAGGGCACTCACCAGCCAGCCCCAGCCCTCTGTGTCACCTGGGAATGAAGGCCAGCATTGCCAGATATTCCAACTTTATATGAGAAGCTAGACTCCAGATTTGTATGTGAAAACTTCCAATGTGTAAATGTTAGCAACTAATATGAAATAAGGAGCTAACTCAAAATTTATAAAGCCATTGTGTGGGCCAGAGAAAGTTGCATGTGCAAGTTAGGGCTGGCTTTGAGGGGGCATTCATTTCTGCAACCTCAAAAAGGTAGGGCTTGAGATAACCAGACGAGATCTGGTAGAGAGCCTTAGATCAAAGCATGAGTTTATATTTCCTCATTTTCACAACAGGAGGTTTTGAGAATGAAAGTAGATTATTTCTTTTGTAATTTAGGAAGGTTCATCCAGGTGTAGTTACTAGGCTAGATTGTGATGGGAGGAGCCTGGGCACAGTGAAACCAGTGAGGAGATGTTTATAAAAATTGAGGTAAGAATCTTTGGTGGAAAGGTACAAAGAGGACATCAAGGGGAATCACCTAAGATTAACTGACTGGACGGACATAGGGTATCAAAACAGGAAGAGTCAAAACCAGCTCGTTTCCAGTTTTAGACCTAAGATTCTCTTTTGCTAGTTTTAGGGAATAACAAGATGAATTCAGTTTCGAGCATATTCAGTTTCAGGTTCCATCAAGACATCCATAGAGATGCCAAACAGGTAGTTGAAAGCAGGCATGTTGTTCTGGAAAAAAGATAGTTGACTAGAGTTAGAACTTGGCAAAACATGTATTGCAAAGGCTGAGTTTTCCTGCTAAAAATTTAGAAACAAAAGAGAGCCCATCCCCCAGAAGGGATGGGAGGAAACAGGAAGAAGATAAAAATAGAAGAAAAAAGAAAGCATTACAGATACAGGAGAATGGACATATTTCATGTTCTTGCACACTTTACATTACTATATAAAATGCACTGTTAATATGTATGTGTTTGTATGCATTGGCACAATGCATTATGCATCATGTAGTTCCTAGGGGGTAACTACATAAACTTACATGGAGATGCTTGTGCTTAGATACAAATTTTGATTGCAAATGACTTAGTTATTACCTGTACCTTTTATATCTTCTAGTTACCCTTTCCAAGTGTGGTTAATGACTTAAGAAATGGGAAACAGGAGAAAAAGTCATCTCAAACAAAAATTTGATGAGCTCTTTTTTTTTTTTTTGTGACGAGCACTTATAAACATTGGGTTGGCCAAAGTAGTTCATTTTTTTTTCCTATAAGATGGCTTCAGTAGTTCTTACTTGTCTTTAAATTCATTCAAAACAATTTTGTTAGATTGTATTGTGACAGTTGTCATATTAGTGTGCATTTAAGAAAACTTAACATTAGTGAGTTTGTGTGTAGTCATTTTAATATTGAAGATAGAAGAAAATAAGCAACATTTTTGGCACATTATGCTATATTATTTCTAGAAAGGTAAAACCACAACTAAAATGCAAAAAAAAATTGTGCAGTATATGAAGAGGGTGCTGTGATTGATCAAACATGTCAAAAGTGGTTTGTGAAGTTATATGCTGGAGATCTCTTGCTGGATGATGCTTCACAGTTGGGTAGACCAGTTGAAGTTGATAGCAATCAAATCAAGACATTAATTGAAAACAATCAACATTCTACCATGTGGGAGATAGCCAACATACTCAAAATATCCACATCAATAAAGTTATTGGTGAAAATGGAAAATGTGTCTTTTATTTTATGGAAAAAAAACATATGGACTTTTTGGCCAACCCAATACCTTTAATTGTCAAATGGGTTTCATCTAGTGAGGTCCTACTATGAACTGTAAACATTTAATATTATTTGTAAACCTTACAATTACCCTAAAAAGTAGATGGGTGATATTATTTCTGTTTTGGAAATAAACAAAAGATGTTTGTTTTACACTGATCTCAAGCTAGAAAATAGAACTAAATTCTCTATTTTCTATATAACTAAGCTCCAAAGCTTATATATATAAACTTAATGAAATTTTTTAAAAACTTGACCTTAGTTGATACATCATGGTTTAGTTACATATAATTTAGGGGAAGATAGTACTTGCACAGAGGAAAATATTTTGTAATGTTGAGTTCCTGACTTATGACGCCAACACATCTTGGAGCATTTATACCGGTAGAATAAAAAGACCCCCTCCCCCATGAAATAGTTTGACTCAATTCAGTTTGAAAAAGGAGTGGAATGTTTATTTCTTTTTAATAAATGAGATAGGCTGACAATAATTAATCACCTTTTTTTGCCTTGGGTTGAATTTAATTTAACTTATGTTTTTCATTAAATCTTTTTTTTCTTAACCCACAGGCTCCACTTCCCTTCATTGCATTTACTCTTTTTGTTTCTCATGAATGTTTTAGAAAAAACTACCATGAATTTTGTATTTTGTTCCTCATGAACTTTTAAGAAAAAAACACCACTGCTTAATATTTAGAATCACTCCCAAGTAAGATAAACCCACAATAAAGAGATAAGGATGAAATGCTAAATTCTGATATTGTAGCCACCATGGATTTAAATTTGTGTTTGGCATTGAAGATAATCTTGTCAGAAATGATCTTTTTTAGAAAATCCACTTATATAAGCCATATCAGTCATAATCTTAAGAAACTGCATTATGATAAATACTTAGGATGGCAAGACTGAGTCTTGATTCTAGGATGAGAAAACAATTCTTTACAAAGAATAGTTACTTAAGTGAAAAATAAATCATTAGTCAATAATAGTTTCAAAGACATTTCCTAAGGCTTACTGCCTTTTCTCTAGTTCTAAGCTCATCAGACAAGGGCCTCTAATTTGTCATTTTGATTTCTGAGTAAACATAGTCACCAAAAAGCAGGTTCCTTCTCTGGATGACAATAACTAAATTTTTTACATGTTCACTATGTACAGTATTTAGCATAGCTAAATACTTTTCATCTAATATCTTACTGAATCATTCCAACAATCCAACTGGACAACCCAACTTGTTCTCACTCCATTCCCCTGAGTGACTATTATATATCTCTTTTCTCTTCAGCTCACTGGCATCTTTACACAACCTGCCACTCTTAGCTTATGGCCTTCCTCCTTATTTCCTTGGGTATGTAGCAGCCATCCAGAGAGACCTCCCATTCACTCATCCGGGAACCTGCTTGCCTCTGTGCCCCTGCACTACTGCCCATGCTCCTGAGAGCAGCCCCTCACTTGTGCACAGATGTCATCATTCCCCTCTTGATGCAATCATTCCACCAGTTTAAAAATGCTGCAAAATCTGTCTTAACCCTACATTTGATCTCTTGTGACCTGTGTTTCCTTTTACAACCATACTAGCAGCTTCTCCTCAGTCTCTTTAACAAGATCATGCAGCTAGTGAGGTGGCATATCTGGGATTTGAACCTTCAAAGGCAGAGACTACTTACCCATTTTTATGTCCCTAGTACTTGGCACTGTGCCCAGAATGTCACTCAAACTGAGAAGTATTTAATTATTTTGTGAGAAAGATTGCAGAGGTAGATAGATAGAGGTCAGTTGGGGATGAGACAGTTGAGACCAGAGACACTGGACTTTCTAGTCAACAAGAGGGAAACATGATCATTACTGGAATTTCTGAAGAGTGGGAACAGGTAAGAGATCCTGACAGGTAAACTTTGGTTAGCACCTGAAAGAAGAAAATTGGGTCTAGTCAGGCAGGTGCTGTCTTCAAAGGCTAGCAGCCTAGAGTCAAATAGCCATTGCCTGGTTGGCAGTGAGGAGCCAACCAGGGAAACAGACACTAAGACAGAGGTGAGCACAGGGAGTTTGCTGGCAATGCTGTCAGGTGGAGTTGCTGAAAAGCAAGGCAGCCTCAGTGAAAACCTCAGCTAAACCCA